TTTGTGACCCATTAATAACTCCTCTCGGAGAACGGTCATCCAGTCAGTTATGCCCCCACCTTACAGTAGCCCCATCTAAGTGGTAATTGCCTCCTTTAGTTATAAGAATATCATGCGAAACTGTATCAAATGCCTTACTAAAGTCTAGTGATAGAGATGCAGCCGTGTTAGTCTGGTCTAGCAGAAACAAAAGACAGGACTATGCAGCACTTTAAAGACTAACAAGATGGTTTATTAGGTGATGAGCTTTCATGGGCCAGACCCACTTCCTCAGATCAATTTTGTGGAAGAAAATTGGCACGCCCATATATACCAAAGTGATACAATCAAAGAAAAGTGAACACATATTTTTGACACATTTTGACACATATTGCCAATTTTATATGTGTTCACTTTCTTTTGATTGTGTCAGTTTGGTATATGTGCGCGTGCCAATTTTCTTCCACAAATTGACCTGAGGAAGTGGGTCTGGCCCACGAAAGCTCATCACCTAATAAACCATCTTGTTAGTCTTTAAAGTTCTGCATAGTCCTATCTTTTGTTTACTAAAGTCTAGGTATTTCTCCTTTATCCACAAGACTTGTTATCCTATTAAAGAAAGCTATCAGATTGGTTACACATGATTTGTTCTTTACAAATCTATGCTGACTGCTACCTATCATCTTATTATCTTCCAGGTGTTTGCAGATGAATTCCTTAATTACTTGCTCCATTATTTTTTCTGGCACAGAAGTTAAACTGACTGGTGTGTAGTTTCCTGGGTTGTTCTTATTTCCCTTTTTATAGATGGGCACTAGATTTGCCCTTTTCCAGTCTTCTGGAATCTCTCCTGTCTTCCATGATTTTTCAAAGATGATAGCTAGAGGCTCAGATACCTCCTCTAGCAGTTCCTTGAGTATTCTAGGACGCATTTCATCAGGCCCTGGTGACTTGCAGACATCTAACTTTCCTAAGTCATTTTTAACTTGTTCTTTTTTTATCTTCTAAACCTAGCCTCTTCCCACTAGCATTCACTATGATAGGCATTCCTTTATCAGACTTCTCAGTGAAGACTGAAACAAAGAAGTCATTAAGCATCTCTGCCATTTCCAAGTTTCCTGTTACTGTTTCTCCCTCCTCACTGACCAGTGGGCCTACCCTGTCCTTGGTCTTCCTCTTGCTTCTAATTTATAGAAACTCTTCTTGTTTCCCTTTATGTCTGTATCTAGTTTGAGCTTGTTTTGTGCCTTTGCCTTTCCCTTGCATACCTTCATTGTTTGCTTATAGTCATCTTTTGTAATTTGTCCTAGTTTCCACTTTTTATAGGACTCCTCTTTTTATTTTTAGATCATGCAAGATCTCCTGGTTATGCCAACGCAGCCTTTTGCCATACTTTCTACCTTTCATACGCAGAATAGCAGGCTTTTGGGCCCTTAACAATGTCCCTTTGAAAAACTGCCAACTCTCTTCAGTTGTTTTGCCCCTTAGTCTTGCTTCCGATGGGATCTTACCTACCAGCTCTCTGAGCTTACCAAAATCTGCCTTCCTGAAATCCACTGTCTCTATTTTGCCGTTCTCCCTTCTACAGTCCTCAGAATCAGGAACTCTTATGATTTCATGATCACTTTCACCCAAGCTGCCTTCCACTTTCAAATTCTGAACCAGTTGCTCCCTATTTGTTAAAGTCAAATCTAGAACAGCTTCCCCCCTAGTAGATTTTTCAGCTTTCTGAAATAAAATGTTGTCTTCAATGCAGTCCAAGAACTTATTGAATAGTCTGTGCTTCGCTGTGTTAGTTTCCCAAAATACGTCTGGATAGTTGAAGTCCCCCCTCACCACCAAATCCTGCACTTTGGATGATTTTTTAGTTGTTTAAAAAATGCCTCATCCACCTCTTCCCCTGGGTAGGTGGCCTGTAGTATACCCCTAACAGAACATCATCCTTGTTTTTTACCCCTTTTAGCCTAACCCAGAGACTCTCAACACATCTTTACCAATATTCCAATCGTGTATTATCCCACCAAGTCTCTGATATACCAACGATGTCATAGTTGTATTTATTTATAATCACTTCCAGTTCTTCCTGATTATTACCCATGCTTCTTGCATTTGTATACAGGCATCTATGATACTGATTTGATCTTGCCTCCCATGTGTCCCACAATGCTAGCGGGAAATCCTTTGATCAGCTGAGTTTCAGGCTGGGAAGAGCTCCCTAAGCTTAATGTTCCAGCCTCCAGATACCGGTCATTTGGGGAGGTTTTACCTGGAGCTGCTGGCAGCACCACAGATCCATAGCCTTCAACACGATACCTCTGCCAATAATCCAGCGAGAGAACCTCAAAATAGATCACAGGCCACTGTGGAAGAGAGCCTAAAAGGAGGGGAGCGATATTATAAATGAACCAACGAGGCCTCTGCTGGACACAGAGAGCTGGTCCCTAAGAACTCAGGACCTCACCAGCAAGAATGTCCCATCCCCGCATATTCCCTGGCATGGGAGGCAACTGTTCATCAGATGCACCTGGTCCATGTGGCATGGGGAGAATGGTTTCTAGATAGTGTTTTGCTCCTCAGAGGGTGAGGAAGAACTTAGGTGCATGACTGTGTGTGTCAGGCTGTGCAATGAGTACAGCATAATGCTCCTGACAGATTCTGGCAAACAAGGCTCAGGACAGCAAGGGACTCACCTTCTGACTCATCCTCTTGGGTGAAAAACATCTCCAGAGTAAAGGGGTAGGAGAAGTGTGCCACATTGTCCTTGGAAAGAGGAACAAGAATGGCATGAGAGGGCAGAGCTCAGACCCTGGGCAGAAGAGAGCGAGTGGCAGCATCATGCAGAAGGGATGAGGTTTGATCCTGCTGCGGACTGATTCCTGGCCAAGGACTGAGGGCACTGAATGTGCTCCTTGCCCTGGCAAGTCCCCAAGACAATATCAAGCCCGAGACCTCTATCCCAGTCAGGAACCCCCATAATGCCTCCCATTGTAACACTCTACACAGGGAGCCAGGGCCCCTCTCAAGCAGTAGGAAGCCCCATCAGCGTGCAAACCTACACCACCAAAAAGTGCTCTTACATGCCCCTTACCCTGCGTAGGGTCTTGGTGGCACATGTCTGCGTCACACCAGAGAGTTGCTGGAATGCTGGGCTTGACCAACCTGGTAGAAGAGGAGGAGGTGGTGAGATGTAAGGCTAACGCTGCAAGAAAAGGAGGAGGAGCAGCCGAGAAGAGTGTTAGTCCTCTCCCACTGAGCTCCCTTTAGGCACTTTGCTGAACTCTCGTCATTCCAGCTATGTCTCCTGGGAAAGCCCTGGAACTTTGGAGCCAACTTCATTCAGATTTAAAGAGATTAAACTTACCTACATTTAACCTGGAAGCACAATACAGGCAAGGGCTGTACGCCCAGAAAGCCAGACAACTAACTGGGTTTTAACTCCATAGAGAGGAGGGGACAAGGGTTACAGCCTCACAGAGATAAAAAGCCAAGGGTTTAAAACAGGGCCAGACAAACTAACCGTGATCAAGGCCTGCTGCACAGGCTGCACAAAGCAGCAAACACTCTACAGACAGACTCAAACTCACAGTGACCCTAGGGTCAGGGGCCTGCCTCTCTCCACTCAGGAAAGGACAGCTCAGTGTTAGCACAGCACATGGAAACTGGACACTGTGGTGTAGTGGGGGTGCTGTCTGCTCTGTGACCCGGGGTCCCCCTGCGCTGTGATGGGAGATTCTCACTGACTCTCCCAAAGGTGGATTAACCCAGACACCCAGCCTCAGCCTCCCAGGGAGGGACACACGATGAAGGAGGGCAGAGACCAGCACCTAGCTGGGGAGCAGGGCTGGAAGAGAGTTTTTTAGTTTCTGTCTGGAATCACGGAGGATGCAGCCTAAGTAAGGGGCTGGGATTTAGGGGCCCAGTCTCCCCCATCTCAAGGGGGGCTGAGGCATTCTAGGCCTGCCCTGGAACCGGATTACATCTGTGCTGTGCTGTATCCTGGAGAAGCAATAAACGCCCTCTGTTCTACTGGCTGGTGGAGTCTGTCTGTGCCACTACGGGGGTGCAGAAGTCGGGGGAACCCCAATGCACTGTCACAACAGGCGATCCATGGGTGTGGCAGTGAATAACCCAGGCCCGGCTGCGTGTAGCAGTCAGCCCCTAAGAGCTGCCAGGCCGGGCAGGGGGGTCCCCCCAACACTCACCTGAGGTCCTGGGAAACCTTCCAGCCCTGGGCGCCCGTCCACGCCTGGAGTACCATGGTCCCCCTGAAACACACAGACAGTGGGAGCACACAGAGGTCCTGCCTTTGGCTCCTCGGGGTGTGACTCCACAGGGCCCCCCAGCAGCCACCCTGAGCAGCCTCGCTCTAGGCCCACATGCGAGTTTAGGGGCATCCGGTCTCACCAGACCACACGCTCCAGTCTGCCTGACAACACTGGGCAGCGTCTGAACATCGACCTCCCCCCAGCCCCAGAGACAGTCGCAGCTACCGTGAGCTGGAGAACGCGTGATCAGAGCTTGCATATAGGACGTGCTGCGATCGATCCCCGCCCTGGGCCCCGGTGGCCGCGGCAGCGTCTGAACATCGACCTCCCCCCAGCCCCAGAGACAGTCGCAGCTACCGTGAGCTGGAGAACGCGTGATCAGAGCTTGCATATAGGACGTGCTGCGATCGATCCCCGCCCTGGGCCCCGGTGGCCGCGCGTCTCCTCCGTCCCCACCCCCGGCGGCCGCGCGTTTGATCCCCGGCCCTGGGCCCCGGTGGCCACGTGTCTCCTCCATCCCCCCCCCGGGTCCCGGCGGCCACGCGTCTCCTCCAT